TCAGCATCGTCAATATCAGATTCTGTCCCAACCAAACTCCTTGACATCAAGACTGTCTTCCTGTCAGAGAACACACTTTTCACAGGTGAAGATTCTTCATCCTCAGAACTTCTGAGTGATGTATTAAGTGATGAGCTCTCTGAGTCAATATTGACATGTTTTAAGGGTGACGCTAGCTTTTGATCTGATGAATCTGATTTTTGAGCTTCTTTTTGTGCTGACATGATTTCACTAAATTCATCTTCCTCATCAGAGATAGAAATTTCGTCTGGATTGAAGCTGGCATTCTGGTCATCAGTGGACAGGTTCAGGCATCCTGATATGAAACTCTCATCTGCATTACTGGAGGATAAGAAACTTCTTTCACTGCCTGAAATAAAAAAAAAAATAATTAAAAATAAACTAAGGAAAATCAAACAAGAGTCCAAAACAGATGATATGATGATTTGCAAACTATTACTTATGAACACATTATAAACCAAACTAATCATACAAAGGCATACTGTTAAATTTATCATTGGTATGATAAAAAAAAAATCAGAAAGTTGTACATATATCAAAATTCAAACATCCGTCAAACATAATCACCAAAAAAGACATCACTGAGGCAACAAAAAAAATGATGTGTAGTTTCTAAGACAGTGCCACTTGGTCAAACACTACTTATTGATTAATTTTATTAACATCTGTAAAGGGGAATGACTCCTTTAGTTTTTTGTTTTTCCAAGTAAAAGTTAGTGTTTTCATAACATACACAGTATATATTTCTTCTTTGAAGTGGAATTAATTTTTTATCAAAATGTTTGGAATAAATTTATTAAAAGTTAAGTATGTATTATATTATAATATAGCTAATAAATAATCTATAGTAAAAACTACTAAATGTTTTGTAGTGAATTTTAGCATGTTGAGTTAAAAAACTAATTCATTTTTATTTTAATTTTTAAATTTTTAAAAATTATAGAATAATAATGGAGAGAGGATATAAAACTAAATTGACAATGTATAAATTATTCTTATGCAAGAAGTACCTAATCTTTTTAATTGTTTATTCACGCTTGATTTGGTTTCTATTGATTCAAATCTATTATTATGTGGTGACATTAATTTGCCTTTACAGATAAATAACACATGTAGTATTTTTGCTGCTGTTCATAAATTCACTGATGAAACATGTAGATTCTCTAGTTGATATATTACATCATATTGTTATTGTTTTTTTTTTCTCTTGTATCAATTGAATTATTTTTCTTCAATTTGCATGACAAGTTGTACTGTATAAAGAGAGAAACTTAGTAAGTTGTACAGAACTTGTTTCCAATCCATTTCATTTACTCAATAAAATATGTTCAAAACAAAACACATCGTCAATAAAACATCCCCTGTACGTTAAATAAAATACTGTTACATGTACCAGCAAATTGAAATTTTCCAGGATATGCAATATCCCAAATTCAGGGACTTCAATTTTAAGACAACAAAGTTAAAGCAATATGAGCTGTAACTTTGATGTCAGATTTTTTTGTTACAAAATTATAAACAACTATTTCCATTACTGAAAAAATAACATTAATAAACTTCTGTTGTTCATTTTTGTGATGGAAGGACTATTTATAAGCTTCAATTAAATAAAAATTACATTTTTGTCGTCCTGTACAATAATGCTTTCTTATATAAAACTGTACATTGGATTGTAAAAGAAGTCTTTCTTCTGCTTTATTTTAGACTAATTGATCATAAAGGTCTAAGTTACACACAAATTTATCATGATAACACATTTTAACAGCAAAATAAAATTTTCAAAAATGCAGCTCATATTGCTTTAAATTTACAGATGATAATGTTTTTGTTCCTGATATTTTTCAGCTCAATGGGCCACATCTTTATTAACAAGTTTTTCATGAAACTTTCTAATTTAATAAATAAGATTTCATCTCAAATGGATGTCACAGTCAATCCACTATAAACAAAAAATAAAAGACAAACAGTAATTTTCCTTGTATTATTCCAAAATAATTTGATTTTCTGCATTCAAGCCATTAAATGACTATGAGATCAAAAATACCATGCTATAATAATGCACCTTTAAACTATGTTATAGAGAATTATACCTGATACAGAAATGAAGCTTGGTTCTGACTCATATTCCGTGTCATGTTTTACATCATCGCCCTCGTCACCCCCCTCTGTGGCCTCGTTCTGTCTCCCCCGCAGACTCCAGGGCAGACAAAGTCTCCAACTTGATGTGGGAGTCTTTACCCAAAAACACTGCATTCGGATCTGTAGTTATTGAAATCATATTTTTTAGAGAAATAATAGTGAGGGAAAGTTAATTATTAATAATTGAGTTGTAAGATAAGATATCTTATACATGTAATAAGATTTATATGACACTTATTTGTTATAACACGTATTTGTTTCAAACTCCATAAAAAGACATTAAATGTAAATGTGGCTATCATAAAAGAAAATGCTCAATGATTAATGACTAAAATGTGTGATGTTTTCCCAGTTTTCCCAAGTATCTGTCATGCAGAAAAAGGGGGGGAAATTTTAATTTAAAAATTAAATTACAGACACATTAAATTGCATTGAAATATTATTCACAGGATTGAACACTCTATTTTTTTCTGTTAAGTTCCTGGAACACTGAAAATTTAAACTTCAATATTAAAAAAGATATATTAAAGCCACTTGGTCCAATTCTAATCGCAAAAAAATATATTCGTTTTTCTTCTTGAAAAATAATTGTCCATAAATTGTTTCAACTTTTGTCAAATTATATCCCCAAAGTCTTTTTCTTTTTAAAAAATATCAAAATTCAAAAGTTAAAAAAATAATTTTTGTTAGGTCACACAAAAAATAATCCTATGTTGATATCACGTGAAATCACATTCGAAAAATTAAATTTATCGCTTACATTTCATGAAGAACAAACCCGAGCATTTTATTCACAACAAAGTACTTATACCTGCACAAGGAAAATATTTTAGCCTTAACTTCCTTTATTAAAAATCTGTAAAAAATATCTGATTTTCCTTTAAATATGCTTATTAATATAAAAATTACTATGGATTATGTTCAATTAATTTCTTAATTTTCGAAAAGGGATATTATGACTTAGCCTTCTACCAATGGAAAAAATACTCGGGTTTGAATTATCTCCATAATTAGATATAGCCTATAAATTTATTTTTTTCAATCTTTTTTTCAAAGGTGACTTCACAACAATCTTAACTTCCCATCAGGAACTTCTGTTTGTCAATAAAGTTTTTGATCTATGTTTTTCTTGTAAGGATTGTTGTAATAAACTATAAAAATCAATCTTATAATTTATTTTTATATATTATCTATGTAATGATGTACTTTTATCGTGTAAGATAAAATGTGCCTGTTTCGGATTACGCGGCTTTAAGGTTTATTTATATGCGTCGAGATGCTTGCTATAAACCTGTAAGATCCAACATTGTACACAGTAGAGTTGTTTGGGGATTTTAAAAAGGGGGGGTGATTTCTTCTTTGGTTCATTTGGGTTATGGACAGGGCTGTTTTCTCAAAATTTTCAGGAAGTGACAAATCCCCACCAAAGTCCTCTAGTATTTGATTATATCTTCCTTTGTCACAGTGAAATCCCACCTAAAAGAGAAATACATTAAAAGATTTGTCTAAAGGATCTGGGTAAAGTCAGTAAAAAAGTGGTCATCCTATTATTTATGGAGATTGCAGAAATTGTGTTGACCCCTGCCTTAGAAAAAATTCGTAATTCTCATATACATGTACATACTTTTATTCATTATAATATCTATTTCATTTTTGTTTAATGAATAAACCTGACAATATCTTATGCGTAAGTCCTAATCACTAAACAGACTTGTATTTAAATGGGGAAAGTTCACTTGATGTCTGAGAACTATAATAAGATCTTTTTTAAGTAAATTACCCCCTTTTCATTGGAGCCTGGTCCGGCATGTATCTGACCATCTTTAAATTCAGTAGATGATTGGTTGATTTCAAAATGGCTAACCATTCAGGATCTAGCTCTATTTTCATTGGCTTTTCTACATCATGTGGTATGTCTAAAATCTACATGTACATACAACCATAAATTCACAAGAAATGAAAAATATATAATGCTTCGTCGATGAAATGAATTTTTGAAATCTAATTCATAAACAAATAAGATAAAGATATAATTACTTTTTCCATAAATTTACAGTATATATCCTTAATTTCAATAAGATGTCTAAGAAATCTTCTGCATATTTTCTTTTTACCTGTAAAAATTTTCTTCTTGGTAAACATTTATCCAGAGATAAAAATTTTTTTGTTTTTGATTTCCATCTACCTCCTATCAAAATCAGAACAGTATTGATTTTTCTATATGACATAATTCTTGAAAAAATTTTTAAATGTTTGACTTAGGCATTAAAACTTAAAAAAATATAAAAAATAATCAGATTATAAACACATAATAAGATGATATAATGCTTGCCTGATGCTGAACAATGGCTGGGAATTTAACATGAAGATGAGCAGGAACCAGGTATTCTGGCTTTAAGTGATAAAGGAGATCTTTGGGAACCCGGGTTTCCCCCAAGTTTTTTCCTGCCCCTACTTCCTCCCGGAAATATTGCTTCTTCTTCAGCAGCATGTTAACATTTCCAAAATTATAAATCCCTCTGGGCCAGTCATGGGACAAAAATTTTCAACTGGTCTATATCTGAAATGAAACATAATTCATCTTTAATTTTTGAAATCTGAATACCTGAATATGCAGCATAAAAATAATTTTTTTACTGAGATTTATATTAGAAAAGCATAATATACAGTAATTATTTCTCTTGTATCTTGAATCTTCTGAAGGGATTTATGTTTTAATATGTCTTCAGTAATGTATGGAAAAACTTTCAATATTGACTCTTTTTGAACTTCGTAATGCATTTTTTCATAATTCATAATGCTTCTAGTAAATAGTTGCGGATCTCCTTATAATAAAAAGAATGGGTATTAATGAACATTTGTTGCTCTATAATATTTTTATTTACCAGTAAAATTAATTACTTATGAATTAAAATCCGAAATGAGTATTCACCAATTTCAATATAAAATAAAAAGAAATCTTCAAGTTACATGCAAGTATTGCAATACAGCATTTCATTACTGCTTTTTTTGTTGCATCTCAAAATCTCATGCTACAAAACATCTGCTTAAAACAAATCACTGTCTACCTTAACAAAATTCTCCATCAATTAACTTGAATCTAGTACTGCTTATGAAAATTTACACTTTTTGTTTATATAGGACAAGATTTTGGAATACACAACATCTGGACTAGTAAATTTTCAGAGTAAATGGCACGTAGAAATAAAATGTTTTAAGGTCCACAGAGATTACATTCTCATGATTCTCAAACCTCAACTCAAATCCTTGGCTTCAAACCCTCTAATTTGAAGAAAGGGAAAACACTACATGTGGTACTTTAATTAAGGTCTTCCGACTTCCTTCGGAAGACCTTACTGTTTTTCTTATGTTTCCTATTATTATTATTATTCCCTTTTCATAGTACAGGTGATTTCTCGGAAACTACTGAACCGATTTCAAAGATTTTTACAGGAATGATGCATTGTTGTGATATCTCCAGACATTTTTTATTTTTTGAAAAATCACTTCCGGTCACATTTTTTGTCAGATTTTCTTTTTTTAAATTTCCATTTTGTCCAAGCATTTTTTTCTTGTTAACCACTCAAGATTGAATCACGATATTTTCGGGGATGATAAAACATCTCTTTGAGTTATGCATGACGTCTTTTGATTTTGCATCCGTCACTTACGGTCGACACCCGGAAGTGATATTCAATTTCAAGATTTTTTGAAAAATTCAACCGTTTTGAATAAAGGCAAATAAAACTTATGTTCACATTTACAATCGTCAGCAAAACGCATCCACTGGAATAACTTCCGGTGTAAATCGGAAGTAGTCGAAAAATTAAGCTTTCTCTCTTGAGTCGAAAGAAATAGAATAAAATGGTTTTATTTGAAACACTTATTTTTACTTGGAAAAACAAAAAACTAAAGGAGTCATTCCCCTTTACAGACATGAATCAAATTGATCAATACAGTAGTGTTTGACCTAATGTGGCACTGTCTTAGAAACTACACATCATTTTTTCTTGTTGCCTTTGTGATGTCTTTGTTGGTGATTATGTTTGACTGATGTTTGAATTTTGATATATGTACAACTTTCTGATTTTTTTTATCACTGCCAATGATAAATTTAAGAGTATGCCTTTGTATGATTTGTTTGGGGAATAATGTGTTCAAACATAATAGTTTGCAAATCATCATATCATCTGTTTTGGACTGTTGTTTGATTTCTCTTAGTTTATTTTTAATTATTTTTTTTAATTTCAGGCAGTGAAAGGAGTTTCTTATCCTCCAGTAATGCAGATGAAAGTTTCATATCAGGATGTCTGAATCTCTCCACTGATGACCAGAATGCCAGCTTCAATCCAGACGAGATTTCTATCTCTGATGAGGAAGATGAATTTAGTGAAATCATGTCAGCACAAAAAGAAGCTCAAAGATCAGATTCATCAGATGAAAAGCTAGCTTCACCCTTAAAACATGTCAATATTGACTCAGAGGGCTCATCACTTAATACATCACTCAGAAGTTCTGAGGATGAAAAATCTTCTCCTGTGAAAAGTGTGTTTTCTAACAGGAAGACAGAATTTATGTCCAGGAGTTTGGTCAGGACTGAATCTGATATTGACGATGCGGATCCAGAACTTTTAGAGGTGATGGCTGCACAGAAAAAAATCCAAGCTTCAACCTCGCAATCTGGAGCTCATCTGGAGTTAGCTGTGCCAAACAGTGATGAAGAACTTGAAGAAATTCTCAAAGAGCAAAAATCTTTTGAACTGCAAGAGGGGAGTGTCAAAGAATCTAGTCCAAAACCAACACAGGATGAAAGTAAAGGGGACACTGATAAATCATCGCAAAAAAGAAACGAAGGAACAGAATGTGAAGAAAGTCCTCAGTCAAAGAGATTAAAAAGACGGAATCAGCAGCTATACACTGATTGTGACAGCTAATGTTTACCTTGATACACAGTAAAATGCAGTGAAACAATTTAAAAGCTGGTAGTCTTCATGGTTTGTGAATTATCTTTTATCAGACAAACTCAATATTTTATGCCTTTACTTGCTGAAATATCATTTGCCTCCGAAAGATGGTTACATGTACAGAAAATGCAAAGTTTTAAACTGAATAGATTGTTGATTTATTGAGATTTTCAGTTTTTTCATAGTTGGAGACAATTAATATGAGGTCTATAAAATTTAAGAAATTCATATGTCATAACTGAAATTTGTCAATATCGGTAAATTTATACTAAATGTGTCTGGAACACACCATTGAAGGCTTGTTGATTGTTCTTTAAGTTTTTAGAGACTGATTTACAATGCATTATCAAAGTAAACCATGAATTTTAACTCACCTGTGTCAAAGGCTTTTGTGTGTATTTTGAATGAAAATAAGACATTGATCTTTCATCACTAATTCACTTCCTCTGTATATCTGACTATCTGTGCTCTCTGCTCCAGATCATATTGACAAGTTTCAACTTAATCAGCAAAACTTTTGGGAGAAGAAAATTTATGGTTCAGATTAAAACATGGAGTGTTTTACTTATCAGAGAACTGTGAGCCCTTTCGTATTATTTGATAACACCATCGATTCTCTTGTGCATAATTGTCATATGAAAACGTACAAAATTAAATTTTGGCGTGATTTATTGTGAGCTGTTTTGCAAAATGAAATGTATCCAACAGATGTTCTATGATTTTATTCAAGACCAATTCTTGACAAGAGGAAGTTCGGTCTTATGTAACTTGTTAATTCTTTTATTTTTAATTTTATTGTTTATCATAATTGTTGGTAGGTGGGGTTGTATTTCTAGATAGAAATAAAAAAAAATACATAGTAATTTTGTAAATACACGTATTATCAATCTATCGGCGATAAATCTATTGGTAAAACTTTAATACACACACAAAACAAACTACGAATTTAAATCAAATGCTAATGTTTCCCCTAGAATGCAATCATTCCGCATAATTTCTCAATTTTGCCGTATCATTTAATATCAATGATATTTGTTATGTGTCTAATGAATATCTTTATTTTAAATAGTCTAACAGACCGCTCAGTTTCATAACAGTTTTTGGTCAATATCAGAAATTTAAAATAAACATTGTGAACAAATTTGTGACGTAAGTAGGCTAGTGAAACGATTACTTTTCTGTACTTTATTGTTAATTTGTGGATAATTTTAAATTTGCATGTTATGCTTTCTGTTAAAAAAATATCCTGGTGTTTTTCTGGCGTAAGTCGTCATGTTTTGTTTGCAGGCGAGTTGAATATAAAACAAAAAAATCTTGCCTTAACCAAGTACAAGTGTACCTGCTTTGTCAGAATGTAAACAATCTTGGAATTCAACAAAGTTTTTATCATAATCAATTTGGCACTGGCCTATTCTTGCTTTGAAAAAAAAGAAAATAAAGAAAAATTGTAAATTTATTTTGGATTTATTGATTGTTAGGATACTGTGTACAAATAAATGGTTGACTAAAAAGGTATAATTGAATTTAAATATTTGTTAGGAAAGAAACTAATATGGTCAATTGATTATTGTGACTTCACAATTTCTTCAAATGTTTGTTTTCAATGGTTCTTTTCTGTAAATTTCGCCATCAGCGTCCTTGATTAATTGTTGATATCTGTAAGTGGATAAAAAGTCATTTAATGCATGGTATTAAAATTGAGACTGGTCGTGCATCCATAACACCGTTTTCTAAAAATCAAGCAGAAAAAAAAACACTGAAAACTCTTTGTTTTCTATAAGTACGAATCATTTCCCCCGCGTAAAGAGTAAGCTATTTATTTTTGTATAAATTTGCCGAAAAGGTTTTCTGTGATGTTTGTCACATGAAATGAAATGATGGATGTTCTTTACATACCGATTGAAAAGAAAAAAAAACATATATACCACCCAATACTTCATATTTCACATTCAGATATATCGACAACGTATTGTCAACTAACAATAGTTATTTCCATTCCTATAGCTCGGGGAGCTTGAGATTAAAGATACCACAGAACCTGACACATCTGTTTCATTCTTGGATATTTTACGTGAAAAAGACGTTAATGGTACCTTCATCACCTGCATACGGAGTTTATATATCTCAGCTATTCGATATGCAAGAGCATGTTCTACGTATGAACAATTTTTTAAAACGAGGTAAATTATTGAAAAACAAGTCTAATGATAATTTTAGCTGAAATGCGTGCGGGAGTGAAACACTCCCGCACTTGCACCATTACGGAGATCCTAAGAGGAGTTGTAGCCCCCCCCCCCCAAAAAAAAAAAAAAAAAAGGAGAGCGCTACATTATTGCAGCTAGTCATTTCACCTCGTTAATGACAATGATCTCTTTATAACGAGATTTTATCAAATGAGACATTTCAGCCTTAGTAAAAAAAGAATCTTCAGTTGATTTGAAATATACTAAAAAGTTAAACAGAAAGTACTTAAACATACTTACCTTGTTTTTCTGTTCAAAACTGTAAAGTACATGTAATTGGTATAAATTATTACAACAAATAGACAAAGACTTCATCATAAGAAATATTACAGGTTTCCTTGGAAAGAGTTAAAATGGACGTAAATTTTTGGTGCATTGTACAAAGAAAATTTTCTAAGATATGGACTTAACTTTGGTCTCCATGGTCAAAATTTAAAAGTTGGTACCCAAAGAAAAATGGTCTTTTTGTTTTGGACATATTTTATTGACACTATGCCAAATGGATTGGACAGATGTTCCAAAAAATTTTATAGTCCCCACCCATGCATACAATCTTAATAGCCATACACCATTCACAAAGTTTTACAAAAAATTATATTCATGTACATACGAGGGTTGTCCCAAAATTCCGTAGACAAGCGTTGTTTTGTAGGAACCCGATGTCATATATTAATGAAACTTCGTACATAGATTAAACCAACACTATCTGATAAATTTATGGACAAATATGGAGTAACTATACAAATTATTCCAATTTAAAAGACACATTTCATTGTCTGGTGTAGGTAGGCGGTGCAATACCCAAGAGTTGCAATTAAAATTTGGTACATTATATTTAAAATCCTACGGAAAAGTAATTACTATCCCGTATTTTTTTTTAATGGAAATGAAAATTATTAATACTGTTCTATTAACTACATTTCCCCACATTTTGGTGTTTATGCTTTGTAAATATGATTTTTATAACGTTTTATATACATGAGGTTGAAATCCGACTTTCTGAAAAATGGCGGCTGCGTTGGCACAGGCGGCGCACTGGACTATGATCAAATGTTTTGATCCTGAATTCACTCTTACAAAAATGTACCAGTTATAACGGTTTGGTAGACTAGGAAACTTTTTCTCACCCTAAGTATTTAAAATGACTAAAACGATTTCTCTATGTATATGTGAATAACAGTAGCTATAATAAAAGACAGGGCTTACAAATGGACAAGAGTTGCATTGTGCAACTCCCTTAGAGAAAACATACGAAAAGACCGTAGAAATGTAGCGTTTTCAAATTATTATTATTTCATACCTGTACATGCATATACTTTGTTTACATATTTTAATGTTTGATCATATCATAGTAATTAAGATATTTCACATTTATAACTATAACCGTTTTGTTTAATTTTATAATTTGATTCTGGTAATTGAAATATTTTCTCCAAAAAATTGAACTGTTGACATTAGTATTTTTTGACGTTGCAGATTGCTCCGGGTGTTAGAGAACGATATCACTTTAAATGTTATTACTCGAAAAGTTTTCAAGTAAACATCATAAAACTTCGTAATTTATCTGCCAAGAACACGCTTTATCCACCCTGAAAATTTTATAAAGATACATTAATTTTTTTAAAAGATTTGAACTCAGTCTACGAAATTTTGGGACAACCCTCGTAGATGAACAAAACAATTGTTTTTATGAATTAAGAAATAATATCAATTAATAATGGAGTTTTATGAAGAGGCTTACTTTTACATTCGACAGATGACTTTTACATTTTAGTAACTGGAGTTGGTCTATGTATAAACTGTAGAAGTCAGTCGTCGATTGTAAAAGTAAGTCTCTTCATAAAACTCCAATAATGGTGATAATAAATACATGCAATGTTGATATCAAATTCAAAGAAAAAGGTCTAGTCACAACTACTTATACATATGTGAAATAATGAAAGCCAAAGATGCAAGTAGCTCCAATCAATCAAAAGTTATGGGTAAGGTTAAAGTTTTTACGAACAGACAAACGGGCAGACCGGCGGACAGGTAAAAATTATATTTACCCACAAATCTTCCTTTACAGGACATTAAAATGTCTCTGGAACTCCTACCCTCCAAGAAAACGCGAACCCTTAGAAGTTAATTTAATTGGAAGAACTTGAGAAGTGTAGAAGACCCCTGCCCCGCCCCACCAATGATTTTTTTTATGTCTGCGAAAAAGAGTTTACATGTTTTTTTTTTATTTATTTATTTTTTATTTTGCCAAGATATATATTTATATGTTTGAGTTTTTGCGACTTGAGTAGATCTTTAAAGGAAAAAAAATTTCTGGATCCGAAGTGTAATAATCTAAAATTTATTTAGAGGAAAGTAATTCAAAATTGATGCAGAATTGTTTCATTCGCATCGATTGATTTTGAGATTTCTTCGTGTCGACACCGACCCGACACACGTGAGGACGTTGTACTAAAAAGGTAATAAATTATGAAACGTAACAATGCCAGGGAAATCCGCACTAATCTATACAGTCATGTACCTTGTTCATAGTGAGCATATTGCTGCATTTGATCTTTTTTACATCGTCAAAATAATTGTTCAATTTCATTATCACGTCAATTTTTACAATCAAAACTCAATGTCATGAAGTTTGAGTATATCTTATTGTTTCGCCCCGTGGGGATCCGGGTTAGAATAGGTCCTCAGTACCCCCTTGCTTGTCGTAAAAGGCGACTAAATGGGGCGGTCCTTCGGATGAGACCGTATAAACCGAGGCCCCGTGTCACAGCAGGTGTGGCACGATAAAGATCCCTCCCTGCTCAAAGGCCCTAAGTGCCGAGCATAGGCCTAAATTTGCAGCCCTTCACCGGCAATGGTGACGTCTCCATATCAGTGAAATATTCTGGAGAGGGACGTTAAACAGTATTTTATCCTGCAACTACCCCTTGCATTGACCTAATAAAGGTAACCTAATAAACCAAAGCTTTATCCGGTCACTGCCCTAATATAGCCTCGTGCATGTATTCCGACGTTCCAAAAGCATTGTGACGTCACGTATGCTGCAATGTTTACGCCATGGCGTCATAGTTTCAACTGCGGCGATGTGCCTAAATCTATCGGAATTAGCTTGTTTTGGACGTTCAAATGTAAAATTTTGTTGCAGGATAAACAAAATACATGATAACTGTCTTGAAATATAAGCGATATTTGGGCTCGGGTCGAAAACGTAAGAGGGCTCGGCAAGCCTCGCCCTCTATCACGTTTTCTTACCCTCGCCCAAATATCGCTCATATTTCAAGACAGTAACCATGTATTTTATATGAATCAATCAATCTTATTGTTTCTATCAATGTTTATTTTTTTCAATTCATTAAAAGCAACAGCAGAACTTACGCCAAATAATGGTCAGTGACACGATGTAAGTCAGAGTTGCTGAAACTGCTATAACCGAAGCCGTCAGGAATATTGCAAAAGCAATATAACACTTCTCTGTAAGAAAAAATACACTATAGTAAGTAATTCATATATATTATTACTATTTCCTTGCCTGTTAATTAAAAGTTTTTTGATTTGGAAGCAAATCTTGAATTTCATCTGTCTTGAAAAAAATTCTTTTTACCAGGTTCACATCGCGAGGCCCCGTGGACCGCCCATGTGTGATTGGAAAGACAGATCATTGTCACTGCAAGTTTCTCTTGAAGTTCAGGCGAAGATGTTGCATTTTTGCACCTGAAACGAAGTACGGTTCCAGGGTTGGCATACTTAATGGACGTTGACTGGTTTGTATCCACAAAGGGCACCGACGGAAGAGGACCACAAGCTAAAATTTTAAAACAATGTACGTAACGACAAAACCTCTCATTTTTTAAACTAACAACTTTTTACAAAAGGTTTTATTTTTTGTCTAGAAAAAAAGCTTTGTCAATTTACAATATGATATTATTACAATAATATAGTACTAAAGTAACTTAAACTTTCATTCACGTTGAAAATATTGACCTATAATAGAAAAAAAAACCTTTTTAGCTAAATAATAATAGCTTTGCATAAATAGTACTTACCATCAATTTCATTAAATTGAAGAAGAATTAGTATAAGTAGATATGAAAATAAAGTGCAGTACATTTTTGTAATAGTTTTCTTCTTCAAATAAGATACACAGTTAACAATTTGCGGAAGTCCGCTATATTTCCTGGGTCTTAAAACCTGATACCTCTTCCCTACACATCATGCCTCTAAGTCCTATAACATATATGTATCTTTCTGTGTTATAATATAAAATTTCAGGATATGTTTACTTGCTTATTAAAATTTCATTTGGTATTCAGTCTGAATAAATGTGTACTAAACCTTTAAAAAATGTTGAAAATTGAATGCACTTCGTCAGTTATCTAAATGTATAACTGAAATCATGTAAGAATCAACCAAAAGTTCATTAGATTGGAGAAGAAAATTTTAGTAGAATTTCAAAAAGTGTAAATGGGTTTTTGAAAACATTTTTAGGGCATTAGGCAGAACTATCTGGAAGAATTCTATAGAAATTTTTGCGGATTTTTTTTTCACAAGTCATTTCTTGGAAAGAATCAATTTAATGTCACAATTATTGACCAAAAATTTTTAACTAAGTTGTTAACATACACGGAGGGTTTTCTGGCACAGATAAATATAAAACACAGTTAATACTTATTCTCATAAAAGGGAGAAAACAAGGAGAAGGAAGAATTGATGAAAAACTTAAATAAGGTCCCGTTTCTTAGCGATGCTCTAAGAAAACTTGCAAAGTTAGTAATCAAACTGAGACTTCTTCCCAGATAGTTCTCATTGAAAGTCTTAATTAAATCCGCGAAAATGTTCACATTTTTTTGGCTAAACCCTCAATATTTCCCCACTAAAACGTTTTGTGAATGTTCTGTCGATCAGTTAAAATGTGTAGCTTATTAACGCCGCCATAGGTATACTTCTTTGTGTTCTTTGAGCTCTGTGATAAACGTGATGACTTTAACTTTTCAATCGTCAACTTCCCTTACTTTGGAGTTTATATCTCTCAGTTGATTTCGATACGCATGAGCATGCTCTACGTATGTACAAATTCTAAAACAAGGTAAATTATTGACAAAGAAGTTGTTGAAACAAAAATATCAACAGCCTCGTTTAAAGTCTTAAATTCGTAAGTTCTATGGTCGATACAAGGACCTTGTCAGCAAATACAATTTATCATTGAGTCAAGTACTGACTGAAGTTTTTCATACTAATTGTTAATCCATTATTTATACACTGAATTGACGACGCATTTTCCCGTTATTTCCCAATCATGACATGGAGCACACGCACGGCGAATGTGACTTGTCTGCAGGTGGTGCTTACTCCTCCATGGCACCTAATTCCACCTCCGATGTTTCGGAGGCCCGTGATTGCTCTGCTCCTATATTGTATTGATAAATGGACTTTTGAGCTTGAATACTGTTCCTTATCTCCATGTATTTCATGTAAGGGTCCTCAGTGGAAGTGAGATATCGGAACTGAACAATATAGCTTGTAAAAAAATATCTTCACAATTTTAATTTTGTGATCGAATGTTTGATCACCATTTCATTTCAAAGTTTTCCAATTTTAAAATGTAAATTTTTGAAATTCAACGAATTCAGTGACCTTGCGCTTTTAAGGCCCCAGTAATCGAAGAATCGGTAGCATAGAGCATTTGATCAGTATGTTTGTGGGCAAAAAACTTAATCCTTGCCCATAAATTATTGCTGCTATGACTTACATATTTCAAAGTTATACCGGGTATTAATTGTCATCTGTTGACTCAACTTCGTCCAGTGAGATTATACCACGGGTTGTGAAATCCATAGACATCTATAATTTATGATATACATACCACCTATTGATTATTACAGCCTATTGATTACATTGTTATGTTAAGTTCAAGTATATTATATTGACTAAGGGCTGAGAGTCATGTTAGTAAAACATATGCTGGTTTCGTTTCAATTAATCTACAAAAGTAAACATTCAATGATGAAATATCACAAAATTTTAGATTTTCTTTAGTTCCGACAGTAGGAATATGAACTTTCGACATGAGGTTGTAACTTGCTGGCACGTCCATTCTCTTTAGTGGGTCAACTTGGGTCCATGACCACAGCGCATTATTTTTATGGGTCTCGTTTGACGGTCCTCTCTCACCTGGTAATCCACCGGACAGTTTATTGTAAATCAATAACCTATCACCAGGTGACAATGGGGAAAGTCCGTGATCGCCACTGTGACCAGAGCTTATATGCTTAGATAGGCCGAATATATAATATAATTATTGTAATTATCTCTTAGCGTAAGGCTGTACAAACTCGCACCATCTCTAATTGCATTTCATCTGTTTTAATGGAAAATGTACCGTAATGAATAAATTAGAAAGTCAAAATTAATAATGTAATTTCATTTTTATTGGGTCCTCGAGAATTTTTTTTCTTCAAAATATGTCCTCTACCTTTTAAGTTGATAGAATTTAAGAGTACAGATTCGTGAAAAGATGTTATGACAGGTTAATAACATGATTGTATATGGCATGACTAGTAACTCATGAATATTCCAATCACTTGATTAAATTCAACATAAGACATAATCAGCAAAAACATTTAAAAATTGCTGTCATTACAGGAAATTAGATGCATCGACGTGGTCATTATTATGAATTGAACACAGTCTCATTCCCTACAGAATTTATGTCAGACCGCCAGATCGCATGCCTCGTATTGTCTTCTCTTGCATTAATCTTGTCAGTCAAAATCTTCATATAGCGACGACAGTTAGTGATCAGCTGTGGGCATTGTTCTGGTGTCCGCAAGATAGAATGGACGGTTAATTTTTATTGCCATAACGTTGAACTGATATTTATATGGTCAACAGAAAATATGGAGATTAAGAATTGCCGATATAATAAAGTTTTTTATTTAATGGAAGTTTTTTGAAAACCGCAGAAAAAAAATAAACACAAAAGATGCTCAAGACCAAAGATTCAAAGCCAGCTGAAACAAAATGGAAGCACATGTTTGTGATGGCTGTGATGTCGACCTTTATATTTGCTGCCATTTTCACCATGAGACCTACCCTTATCATCCATCCGGTGGTGGCCATGGGAGTACTCCACAGAACTCGTTATCTACAGGCCTCAGTCATCAAGACCCACCCAGACCATACCCTCACGGAAGAAGGTAGGTTTCTTCATTAGTTCAGTCTCTTTATAATTCATCGTGTATACTGTACAACAAATTTTGTATTAAAAGTAAAAGTTTAACTGTTATCAAATTATGGATTTAGAACAGATTTATATAAGGGGCAAAATATCATTGACAGAGAAATGCCTTTATCCCAAATCCCAGTTAAACGTTACATAACAAAAACATGGTATGAAAAATGATATCATACACGAAATGTCTTAATTATACGGCTAACTTAAAAATAAGCCTGCCTAAATGCACACGATATTAAAATGGCTCCTTAGTAGACTATTATATGATGTTTATATAATGTAATTAAACTTGTATTTGAACTAAGAGGAGTTTATTGTCTGACTAGATTGACGCTCTCTTATTGCAGATGGTCCTAGACTTGTAATTTGAAATTCATCTTTATTTGACATGTTAAGGTAAAGATCCATACCATCCTATAGAAATAACGGAACTACAGATTTTGTTGAAACTTTTCAGAATCTTATCTGAGTATTTGTCCTTTCCAGATCAGTGTAAATTTTGGGGTCAACCGGGCCTCCTTTTGAAAGGATTGTTACTAAAAATAGACATTGTCTCGTGAAATGACGGAAATGCGGAAATTAAGATATTTATTCTAGCTTTCTAAAATTAAAAGCAAAAGAATTTTTTAAACATATGAATCATAGAGAAAATATGCTTGTTTAAATGTTTAATGATTTTTTTAATCTGCTGATCCACCTAATATTACTTTCTAGGGCGAATTAAACATATTTAGCACAAAATTATAAAGTTCATTACTAGTAAAAATAAATTGCTGCTTGATATTCTGACTACAGATTTCTTTTTAAAATTAACACGTTATTTTCCAATGTTCTCTCCCTAATATGGCATAAAAATTAAGTGGGGCAGCGGGCATCAAACAAGAAAATTTCACATTTTTAAACCATACTTGCTGAAAAATGATAATTTGAAAAATCTTTTTAACATCTATACTTTTAGGATTTGGGTGTAAAAATCGCTTTAAATATTTGAAACTATCGATAATAGAACAGTAATTAGTATGGTTTAAATCATAAGTTGAATATTTAATGCATAGACGGCCGAAAATTCGTTTTCACGATTCACAAGCATAATAGTAATCGGGTTCAATCTTCGGAATATTCTATAAACCGTTAATGCGCATGTGTGACGTTGCGACGGAAGTGAAAGAAGAAAATACTTTCAGTTTCAACATGGGTAGTTTGGATGCGATTTAGTTGATTAAAAATTTAGAGAAGCGGCACGTTTTACTACTTTTTGTGTCTATGTAATACATTTCTCGCTATTCATAGATACAAATAAGTGGATTGTTTGCCACATCTTTTTAACGTCTGGTTTCTGATCTCAGGAAATGCTCGGACCTGTCCAAGTAAGGTTCAACGTTGTTTATCATGTTTTTATTCATATACCTTATAAAATAGATCAAATTAATGTACGCGGAGATGAATATGTTCAGTGTTTCCACTTTGTAATGTTTGTTTGTTTAAAACACCGTGCTTACAGGCGATCATATCCTTGGAAGGCAGAGATCCCCTTCTTAAGCTAGGGACACTCTAGCACTGAATGATCGAGGTTTTCCGTACATAACTCAAATTCGTTTAATAAATTCAAGCTCCATAGTTGATGACTAGAATTGCATTGAGAGCATCATTACTAAAGCTATGTCATTTAATTGGTAAAATGTGAAGTAATTTATGTATTTTTAAAATCAATAAGGTTTTATAAATATATGAAAGAGTTCATAATTAAAAGGGTTAAGTAAGTCAAACAATAAATAAATAGTTGTTTTATGTACTCTGACCGAGCTGTCAAAATCACCCTTACACAATAATTTTTGTCAGCACTTATATTTTTTTTCTCGTTTCCATAGTATAATTTCTATAGGATGCTTTTTGATT